GGGGGGGGGGGGGGGGGGGGGGGGGGGGGAAGGAGGGGGGGGGGAGAGGGGGGGAGGGTGAGGGGGGGTGGGTAAGGGGGGGGGGGGGGGGGGACATACCAGAGTGACTTGCGACCTTCCCTGCCAGCCTCCCCACTGACTTTGCTTGTGGGAAGCCGGCAGGGAAGGTCACAAATGTCAATTGTGTGACTACAGGACACTGCAATTGTCTAAAGCGCGAGCTAGTTGCCAAGCATTCAAATCGCAATCATGTGACCGTGGGGGTGCTGCAATGGCTGGAACTTTGACGGCAGATCATAAATTCCACTCATTCAATGCCATCACAACTTCAAATGGTTGCTGAATGAGTGGTTGTTAAGTGAGGACTACCTGTATAAGAAAACTGACTGTATGTAAAAAAATAGATAATGAAGGAAAAGGGATTTTTACCCAATCTTCAGCATGTTCTACCTTCATGGTGCCCTGTGAGATAGGGGATGCATCCCATACATTACCTTCACCTCATCCTGTACCCTGAAGTGGTACTTCCACTAATGGTATAGCATCTTATTCTATCTGCATTTCTCATGCTTGGAAATGCTTATGTTTATACTTCAATTTTATGCACAGTTATTGAATGTAAATCTTACTGAATATGGTGTGACTTACTTCTAAGTAAACATGCATAGCAGCAGGTTACCTATATACTGCAGTCCTCAAGATTATTATGCCTGGATGCAAGGAAATATTAAACACTCCTGTATTATATTTTTCCCTAAAATGCCCAATGTATTTTAAAGAGTCTGTGCAAATTGTATCAAGAAATCGTGCAATGCCGTCTTAAATTTTTAAGAAGACTGTAGCAACAAAGGAACCTGGGATGTTTCAGATTTATTTCTCTAGAAATAATGTACATTTTTTCAGCTATTTGTAAAGAGAGAATATGTAATAAACTGAAACTTATATTTTAAACTTGGTCCAAATTTCTGTTTCAGTAGAAGACCCGCTGCAGTGGGTGGCCAAATTTTGGTATTTTGTTTAGCAGCCAGAAAAGCAATATGCTCAATCATATCAATGCTAAGTAAAATAAAAATAAAAACAAAACCCACCCTCACACATAGAAACCCTGAAGTCTTCATTGTACAGCAGATGGTGCCTGTGAGAAGGTAGTTTGGAAAACAGTTATTATTTTTCTACTAAATATTCAAATGATCTGTAAAACTTGTTAAACAGATAGGAGTTTGTGGATGCCTTGTTAGCCTAACTTAGTTCAAGAAACCTTGAGCTGCAGTGTTCCCAGCAGCAGCTGTCCAGTCTCTGAAGGTCTCTAGAAGAAAGCCCATCAGCTCTTTTAAGTAACTGGTTCCATTTCAATGTTCAACTAGAACTGACCTATTTCTTTATGTGATTAGAACTAACCAACTCACAGGGTAGCAGAAATCTCTGCCCTCTTTTATGTAAGAGCCCCTTCAAGCGTCTGAATTTGTTATTATTTGTTTAAATTTGTTATAGCTGCCCACTCCAGTAGACTCTGAGTGGCTGTAATGTTGCTTTGAAGTATATACCACCACCACCATAGCTGCTGTTGTTCTAAAGATTTGAACTATTGAAAGTGGGCCTTACATAACGTGACGCTTGTACTAAATAAAAATTTTAAACAGTGTCAGTATTAATAACATAAACCAAGATAGTGGAAAATTAAAAGTCTCCCATTCGTCCATAACATTTGGCCATTACATAGCAGGCAGCATGGGCCATTCTCACCTATAAACAATACATCTGCCAGGTTAGTATCTATTCATTGGTCCCATCCCTGTTCCTAGTGAGAACCTGCACAATTATTCTAGTTTCCTTAAACTGGTACATTTATGAGACTGCTGCTATGGTGTGGTCCTCAACAACTGGGAATTTTAGTACAGCTGCCACAGCTTTTATTTGCTTATCTGCTGATAGAAAACAGGAGTCACTTTCATCTCTCTATTAGCTCCAGCTGCACGAGGGTGTAGAAGAATCTCCTCATCCTCCATCTGTTGTTTAGCAAAGTTCACAAAAACCTGTGGGAGAAAAGCAGAGAAATGTACAGCAAGAACTACCCTAATCTGTTAGGAGGCCAGGTTCTGGTAGAAACTGGGATGACAAAAAATGACAAAATGTGTCATGATGCCACAACCTAAACCCTGACCTTTTGTACTTGCATCCTGACATCTGACACTACATTACATAGTTATGGGGTTTGTGTTGTGATGTCATGTCATCTGATCCTCTGCAGACACTTAGGAAAGGAGATAAATCCAGAACCTCTCTAGAAGGTTAACTTTTGAAAGTCCCCAAGATCTGGGTCAAAAAATTTTTTTTATCTTCCCCCAGTGATTTTCATTCACAGGTTGATCTGGCAGAAGTAGCAGTATGCTAAGTTAGGGTGATTTTGAAAGCTGGCATACTCAACAAAGCCTTTTTATGCAAACAAAGTATTTTATAAGGCCTGCATTAAATCCATATAAAGGCACTATAAGAACCAGATGAATCACTATTCTACAGAGATGGAAAAATCTGAAACAAAACCATGATTATGGTGGAATGCCTTTCAATTTCCTTTGCAACTACAAAAAATATCTAAAAGTGCGGCTGAAATGTCTGCAAAGATTGGTCCCACTGGATGTGACCCAACTGCACTTTCAGATAAATGAACTTCTGCCACAGATTGAGAAGCTGAATTACCCCAGTTTGTAATGCGTATACTGTACTGAAATGGTTTCTATAATTGGGCTGTTCACGTTTACTTAGTGGAAGATTTCCATTTTCAGAATATTTTAATTTACCTGATCTAGAGTAGTTTGTGAGATAGAGTATTCTTCAATATTTAGGTTGTCTTTGTTGGAGAGAATCAACCTAAAGATCTTGGCTAGTGAGTAGGTACATATTTGGTACTGCAGCATGTTATAGTGCTTTTCTCTCTGTATGCCACTTGGAAAGTTCAGGCGCATGAACTGTTCTGGTAGGCTGAGATCTGGAAGTACTCCAAGTTTAGGTGCCTTGATTTTCATGGTAACAATGTAGCCATCTCCATATCTATAATATATCCATGATTTATTAGTTATGAGTTTCCCATTTGTTCAGTAACACTCAAATTTATTTTATGAGGCATTTCATAAATAAAAATAACACATAATAATTAAATTACATACTTTCATAAACCCTTAACCATGAACATGAGATACTAATCTTTAGCTTACTTGTATTTGAGATCCTGGATGGTACCCAGGCATTTGAAGGTCCCTTTAGCCATGATAGCTATGCGTGTACAGAGCGCCTCACATTCTTCCATGCTTGTAAAAAGAGAAACACATAGCACTTTAGATTTAACATACAAAGCAAGAATCTAATTTTAAACAATATGTCTCCTATGGTGACCTAGTTTGGTTTTGTCCTGTCAGACTTTACATCAAAGAAAAAGGAACTTAAGAAGACAGGAACTGAAGACACTAAACCTTTCCTAACAATAATCAGCCCTATTCCCATGATAAAGCATTCAAGGCTAACATAAACTGGACAGCAAGCTGCAAATTCAATAATTGCCTGCACTATTAACTGTGCTCGGAAAGCCAAGCTTTGCCGTAAAGGAAGAAACTTGGAGATGAGTCAGGCTACTTTAGACTGCAGTTGTCTTGGAATTTCATTGTAGGAAAGGTTTCCATTTTCCCACTGTTTTTTCCCCCCCACCTATTCTATTTTCTCAAAAAAATCGATAAAGAAGGATTGGTGATGCCAGCAGTCATCAATCTAAAATGTTTACATGTGGTGACCAGGAAGACACGTAATGCTTTTCAACAAGCTTTTACTGTACATTCACACTATCTCATAGAATTTATTTGTTGTTTTCTTTCATTTGGAATCTTCTCATATTTAACCATCACCATTCTTTCTTGCTTTTTTAGGCAGGAAAGAAATCTATTAATAGTGGAAACATGAACTTGCTGCATAAAGCTTTTAGATGGGTGACTTTAGTGCAACTAGTCTAGAAGAACAGAACTGAGGGTGAAAGTATGAGCCTCTGGTTCTTTTGCCATTCCTGAATCAACTCTATCCAGTACAGGCAGGATTCCTTTCAAACATTCAATATGGGATTGCCTTTAGCCCCTCTTCCAAACTGTTGCTTCTTTTTCTAATGAAAGAGGGAAGCAACTTTTGTTTAATGTCCCCAAAACACCTTTTTTTAAACATGGCAAATAAAAAGGTGTAAGTCACCTGCAAGACTTCTAGAGGGACAGTCAAGGCATTTGCTAAGGCCAAATAACCTGTATTCTCCAAGTATGGGACAGCCATTCCTAAAGTTGTGGGAGTTACTACTAGACCACTTTCCTGATACTCCCAAGTGACACGAAGACAATCCCTTCTCTGCTGCCTCCTACAATGGATGAAGGATGAAGTGGGGGGCAGGTACACTACAAACTTACACAAACTTAAATTAAGATGCTATCACTGTGTAATTTCTGTAGCTGTCTGGAGCCATCTTAGCAAAGCCTAAATGAACTCATAATGTCAAGATTTATCATAGCACAGCTGGAATAATTAGAAATTACTTTCAGGGCACAAAATTGTAATTTTGAGAAAGT